AATGAGGTACTGAACTGAACAGAGAATTCACAACAGATGAACTTCGAATGGCCAAAAGGCACTTAAAGTCATGTTCAACCTCCTTAGCAATCAGGGAAATGCAAATCAAAACAACTTTGAGATACCATCTTACACCTGTCAGAATAGCCAAACTCAAAAACACCAATGATAGCCTATGCTGGAGAGGATGTGGAGTGAGGGGAACAGTCATCCATTGTTGGTGGGAATGCAAACTTGTGCAGCCACTGTGGAAATCAGTGTGGCGGTTTCTCAGGAAACTGGGAGTCAACCTTCCTCAGGACCCAGCAATTCCACTCTTGGGAATATACCCAAGAGATGCCCTATCATACTACAAAAGCATTTGTTCAACTATGTTCATAGCAGCACTATTTGTAATAGCCAGAACCTGGAAACAACCTAGGTGCCCCTCAATAGAAGAATGGTTAAAAAATGTGTGGAACATATACACATTACAGTTTTAATCAGCGGTAAAAAAACAATGACATCTTGAATTTTGCATGCAAATGGATGGAAATAGAAAATGCTTTACTGAGTGAGGTAACCCAGACCCAAAAATAGGAAAAAGGTATGTACTCACTCATAAGTGGATTCTAGCCATAGTTAAAGGTCTTTGAGCCTATTATTCGTGATCCTAGAGAAGCTAAATAAGAAGGTGAACATGAAGAAAATCATATAGTTATCCTCTTGGATATTGAAAGTAGACAAGATTGCCAGGCAAACTTGGGTGCATGGGGGGTGCGGTGGGGGGTGGAAGTGAGGGGAGATGGTTAGAGAGAAGGGAGAAGGGGAGGATTGGGGATGGCTTGGGGGAATGGGATGGGGGGAAGAAGGATGGATATGGGACTAGGGCAGTATATATCTCAACTAAGGGAGCCATTTTAGGGTTTGCAAGAGTCTTGGTTCTGGAGGGGTTTCCAGGCCCAAGGAGAGGTTCCCAGATTGTTCCCTGGGCAGCTGAGAAGAGCGTGCCTTAACTGGCCTTGGCCCATAACCATACTGATGAATATTTTGTATATCACCATAGAACCTTCATCTGGCGATGGATGGAGATAGAGTCAGAGACACACATAGGAACACTGGACTTAACTCCCTAGGTCCAAATGAGAAGCAGAAGGAAGGAGAACGTGAGCAAGAAAGGCAGGACTAGAGGGAACCCTCATCTGACGATAGATGGAGATAGAAACGGAGACCCACATTGGAGCACTGGACTGAGCCCCCAAGGTTCAAATGAGGAGCAGAAGGAGAGAGAACATGAAAAAGGAAATCAGGACCGTGTCGGGGGCGTTCACCCTCTGATACGAGGGGACTGATCGAATGAGAGCTCACCAATGCCAGCTGGACTGGAACTGAACGAGCATGTGATCAAACCGGAGTCTCTGAATGTGGCTGACATGGGGGCTGACTGATAAGCCATTGACAATGGCACTGGGTCTTGTTTTGTCTGCATGTACTGGCTTTCTGGGATCCTAGTCTGTTTGGATGCTCACCTTCCTAGACCTGGAGGGAGAGGGGAGGAACTTGAACTTCCCACAGGGCAGGAAACCCTGACTGCTCTTAGGACTAGAGAGGGAGGAGGAGAGGGAGGGGGGAGGAGAGGTAGTGGGGGGAATGGGAGGGTATGGGGAGGAAGGGAGGAAGTGGAAATTTTTATAAACAAATAAATAAATTAATTTAAAAAAATAAAAAACGCAGTTTACAGCAAGTTGGTCAACATCAAACTAAATGAAGGGAAACTCAAAGATTCCACTAAAATCAAGAACAAGACAAGACTGCCCACTCTCTTCATGTCTATTAAATATAGTACTCAAAGTTCTAGGAAGAGCAATAACACAACAAAAGGATATCAAGGGGGTACAATTTGGAAAGGAAGAAGTGTACATGGCTCACAGAGGCGGTGAACATGCCTCTGCCCTGTTGGACTGGGTGGAGCCAACAGGCAGAGCCACGGAGTTGGTTCTAGCCATACCCACTTAACATTAGGGAAAAAAAGCACTTCTGGTCAGAAAATAATTACAGATACACAATAAAGACAGATTCAAATAAAAAGGACCTCTGAATGGGTCACAATGTTGGATAAATATACACAGGCTTGAGAGAGAGGGAAAAAGAGTAAAGAGACAGTAAAAGTCACTTAATACAGTACAGATAGTCATAGATTAAAGGAATAAAGATAATGAAATAAATATTAAACTTGTCAAAAAAAGTAATAGATTAAGAAAAATAATGCATGTAAAGATAGCCTTGAGTGAGTGCAGCTTGGGGTGTTGGGAGGTGAGGGGAGCAGGAAAAGGGGAAGGAGACGGAACTGTGGTTGGTATGCAAAATGATTAAAAATTTTAAAATAAAAACTAATAATAATGCAGCTTCTCATTTATTAAACTCAGTTATTTACACACTAAACAGAAGATGCAATAATTTTAGATTTGATGGAATCAGAGAGCAAGGAAAGAGATATCTTGATAGAGGGAGCCATTATAGGGCTAGCAAGAAACTTGGTGCTAGGGAAATTCCCAGGAATCCATAAGGATGACCCCAGCTAAGACTTCCAGGAATAGTGGAGAGGGTACCTGAACTGGCCTTCCCCTGTAGATTAGTGATTACATCCAGTACCTGATGGAAGCAGTTGCAAAGATTTACAGCCAAGCACCAGGCTGGATTCCAGAAGTTCAGTCAAAGAGAGGGAGGAGGGATTATATGAGCAAGGAGATCAAGATCATGAAAGAGAAACCCACAGAGACAGATGTCTGGAGCTTGTGGAAGCTCATGAATTCTAGACCAATAGCTGGGAAACCTGCATGAGCCTGAACTAGGCCATCTGCTTATGGAAGACAGTTGTGTGGCTTAATCTGTTTGTGGGGCCCCTGGTAGTGGGACCTGGATATATCCCTGGTGCATGAGCTGGCTTTTGGAGTACATTCTGTGTGGGAGGATGCCTTGCTCAGCCTTGAGTGAATGGGGCTTGGGGTGTTGAGAGGTGAGGGGAGCAGGAAAAGGGGAGGGAGGTGGAACTCTGGTTGGTATGCAAAATGATTAAAAAGTTTAAAATAAAAAATAATAGTAATGCAGCTTCTCATTTATGAAACTAAGTTACTTACACACTAAACAGAAGATACAATAATTTTGTATCCTATTCACTTTACTATAATTATTATATTTTAACTTTCTATTGATTCTTTGTGGATTACGTATGATGTATCCCTAACCTGCTCACCTTTTGTATCCTTTTGTATCTATCCTCTGCCTTTGCAACCTCCCTACAAAATAAAGCAAAATAAAACAAAATTTAAAAGAAAAAAATATTATTGTGGAAGCCGTAGTGTGATACAGTGAGTATCTTGGGATACCCGTTAGTCCATACATCTTTACTCACAAGTGTTCATTGTAGTGAGTCATTGGTCTGGTTTGAGGTCTCTGACTTCTGCTACACTACAGATACTGGGCCCTCACTGGGACTCTTCAATAACCTGTTGTTGCCCTTTGTTGTGGAGATCCTGAAGCGTTGGATCTACAGGACTGGCCCCTTGGCATGCTTTATCAGTTCATAGATGGGATAGATGTTGGTGTGGGCCAACTCATAGCCCTTGTTCTGGGCCTGAGTAGTAGCTGGGTTGGCCAGCTCACCAGCTCTCCCCGACCTTTCGCCACCAGGATGAGCTCTCCAGCACTGCCTTAGCTAAACTCATCTAATGCATCAGGCCACAAGGGTCAGGGTCTGCAAAATACATAGACTTTTTATGAAAATTTCAAGGAATCAAACCAAAATAATGAACTTGGATATTTTGTAAATCTATGACAAACCCTGTCGAGACTGAGGGGTTATAAGGAAGGAAACTGTTTCATTAATTTCACAGAGAAGCAGAAGGCAGAGCCCCAAGTTGTAAACGAGAGCAGATGGAAAATAAATCACTTGGTGAACATGGTTGAGAAGACATGATTATTCAAACAGTATTTTGAATCTGGTTTAAACTGCAAGAAAATTTACTAAAATGCAAAAAGAACCCAACAGGGCCAAGCAGATGGCTCAGCAGGCCACTTGTCCATGAAACCTGGCCCGAGATGTCAGTTCAATTTAAGGACAACACCCAAAAGCTGTCTTCTAATCACACAATCACACAGACACATACACACCACATAAAACACACATGCACACACACGTACAAACAACACACACATACACACACAAACACACACATACACACACCGATAGTATGGGAAGTCCTTCTATATATGTGTTGCTTTTATTGGTTAATAAAGAACCTACTTTTGGTCAATGGCTTAACAGAATGTAGCCAGGCTGGAAGATATATATATATATAAATATGTGTGTGTGTGTGTGTATAGGCATGTATGTATATGTATGTATATGTATGTGCATATGTGTATATATATGTGCATACATATTTATATTATATATATATATGCTATTGGCCAAACAGTATTGCAATTAATACAGTTTTTTGTGTGACTATTTCAGGTTAGGGTGGTGGGAAATGAACTAGAGACCTCCCCCAACACATGGGGGTGGGAGAAACAGAGGCAGAGACAGAGACAGAGAGAGAACAAAATGTAAAAATACATTTTAAAATACTACGAACACAAAACGGACAAAATGAAATTGTAATGACCTACAGATGAACAAATGAGTATCTAAAATAAGAAAAACAGAAATAACCATTGAATCTAGGAAACTTTTTCCAGGAAATAAAGATGAATTTCTAAAGGTTTAGGGATAGTGTGTCAGCATCAGAGAATTGTAGGGTCAGCAGATCAGAGGGATCTCCAATGTGAAAAGCTGCTTGCTGAAGCCGCTTGTGTGGAGCTGCCATTTAATTCCCACATTGACCAATCTTATGACCAGTAGTGATATGGCACCCTACTCACCGCTCTAGGAATCACATTCATCCAAATCAATAATTAATTTCTACCCTTTCAGAACTCTGCTATCCTTAAATGAAGACAAGGCTTAATTTCCAACTTACCAATGTATAAAGGGGAGTTTTCAGATTTGGCAAAATCTTCTATGTAGGAAATACCCAAGGGCATGATGGGGGTTTCACCAATTCCACGAATAAGATTTCCTACCATTACATATATCCACATTAAGGATTTAATTTCTTTTATACACTCTGTATTAAAACAAGAGAAAACTGCATGAGCATTTTGACAGTTAAGTGTTACTGAGAGTAAATTCAAAATTTTCTAGAAGCCGTTCTCAGGTCACAAGCCCATAATAATCATTCAGTGACTTCTGTTACTGTGCTGCATAGCAGGCTTGCTTTTGAGTCACCAACCAGCTCCCAAATCATCACACAAAGGCTTGTTATTAGTTATGAATGTGTAGTCTAGCTTAGAATCATTTCAGGTTAGTTCTCTTTAACTTATACTAACCTATTTCCTTCTATCTACCTTTTGCCTTGGGGCTTCTTACCTTTCTTTCTGTATGCTTTACTTTCCTGCTTCTTCCAGGATCTGGTTGGCTGGCAAAATCCTGGCTTCTGGCCCCAGGCATGTCCTTCTTTGTCTCTCTTGTTCAAGCCTAGATTTTCCTCCTACTTATTCTCTCTGCCCACCAACCACTCCTATCCATCTCCTGCCTAGCTATTGGCATTTCAGCTTTTTATTAGACTAATCAGGTGCCTTATGCAGGCAAGGTGAAACAAATTCAACACATCTTTACATAATTAAACAAATACAGCACAGACAAATAAATGTATAACTCTTACATCACTAACAAAAGCAGCAGAAGCAAATGTAGCACATCTTTTCCTAGTTAAAATAATGTTCCATAGCAATGCTCTCTAGAAATCAATGAGTCACCCTTACTACTTATTTTGAAAGATTACATAGCGATGGAGTGTAAATGTTATTCTAGAGACAATTCTTGGGTTGGAGAGATGACTCTACAGATAGATATCTCTATCCAATTCAGTGTTTAGGGATAACACGTTGCTTGTGAGAATTTACATTATAAAAATAGGCAAACTGTAAAACCTTGGAATTTCCCTCACCTCCAGGAGCCCAGTTTTCCATCAACCAGTGGACCCCGTTTGTTAATGTGTGCACTGTCTCATTTCTCCATAACTTTTAGAAATGAAAGCAAGCACACACGTGTGCAATAGTCTCTGACAACTCATTATTTGCTTACACAACAAAGACAGAATTTTGAATTCTCTACAGTTGCAATTATTCTCTAAAAATTCAGGATTTTAACTAAATAGAAACTGTACTTTTTCTTAGATTTCATCATTTCCTTTCAATTAAATATTCTGACAGTTGGAGTAGCAACTGATCAATGAAGTAACAAAAACAAGGCCAAAGCAAATTGAACGGCAAAAGCAGAAATCTTTGAACATTTGCATGCACCTCCCAAGTTTGTTCTAAGCTAAGTGAACTTGCACTCCCTAGAGGAGCTTGACATTGTGTTTGCAGAGAAGTGAAGGACAATGAACCCTGAACTATGGACTGGTCGGTGGCTGCTCATAAGTGTCCTAAGCACAACTGGGTCCTGAGGTCTAAATCTTACAGTTTCCCTCTCTAGGAATTCAGATTCTTATCTTTGATAAACATGATAATTTCTGTCTTCAGATCATAGGGAGACTTTCAACCCTCTTCTAAAGCTGAATGGAAAATTCAAGTGCTTTCTTAGGACTCTGTACATGGGAAGTTTTAACTTATCCACCAAAATACAAGGAACGCAAAGAATGAATTTTCTGGGGTCAGTTCAAAAAGTGAGCATGGGCTAGCACAGAGGTCACTGTTTCACATTGCTTTGCTTAGAGGGTTTTTGTGACTCAGAGCTTCACAGATGGCTACTCTTTGTCTCTCAAGCTATTTTGATCTCCACAGACTCCCTGTGGAGTGATGGTCCAAGACTTTGAGACTGCTGCAGATTCTGTAGCGTGGATTTACCATAAAATGGAGATATTCTGGCCTGAGGCGATTCTGCTGAGACAGCTCCCGAATAAATGTCCAGGATATATATTGGGTCTTTCAGAATATGTGACTTTTGTCAGAACATGGTCAAAAGAATGGTGTATGGTGTACTATAATTTGGTCAACTGTAAGAGAGGCTCCAGATAAAAAAGCAGAGATCCTTTTATCTCAAGAGTATTTCATTCCCTGTATTGTTCATAGACATTATTTCATGCCTCCTATGACTAACAATTACCTTCGGTTTATAAGGCATATTTATTTTTGTTAGATGTCAGAACGTAGCTCTAGAATCCAATATGATCAATGTACCTTGAATCTGGATGTTGCCTTCTGCCTTGTTTCATGCTTTCCTAGATATAATCTATAATCTATAATCCATAATATGTACCAGGCAACTGTGTTTAAATTCGTCTGTCCTGAGAAAGTCTTTGGAAAGGGAGGGTCTGTTAAGGATGTGCTTACTGATGTTTATATACATTTCTCTGTCATATTTTTTCTGATCCCAAACAAGCTTTTTGGATCATTACTTTCATTGTTTCATTCATGTATAATAGTGCACAGTAACTGAAATAAGGTCATCTCAGCATTAGACTGTAGTTCATCCCATTCTTTCAGGTGCTCAGATACCGGACCCAGATACAGCAGACAAAATCTGCACAGGTCCACTGAAAAGTCGACAACGTTAAAAATACTACCTAAAAATGTATACGTAAATATGTGTACCTTTACGAGCAAATGTACACCTTGTGTGTGCAAGTGCCCAAGAGGGCCAGAAGAGGGCACCAAATTCTCCAGAACTAAAATGACAGGAGATTGAGAGCAACCTGATGTGAGTGCTGGGAACCAATCAGGCCCTCTGTGAGAATACTGTGGTGCTCTGAATGTAAATGCCCCACAGAGACCCCAGTCTTTACTACTTAGTCTCCAGTTGGTGGTGCTATTTGGGAAGATGGAGGACGACTGTTGCTGGAGAGGGCTTTAAGAGCTTAAGGCCTCATCCTACTTCCAATTTGCATTCTCTGATTTATGCTTATAGTTGAGATGTGAGTACCTAGTCTCCTGCTCCTGCTTCCATTCTCCCTGCTGTGATTTATTTCTTATCCCTCTGTAAGAGTGGGTCACCTGGAAGAATCACTGAAGTATCAGATATTTATATTGCAATTCATACCAGGAACAAAATTACAGGTATAAAGTAGGGATGAAGGTGATTTTATGGTTGGGGGTAACAACAACATGAGGAACTGTATTAAAGAGTCCCAGTATGAGGAGGGGAGAGAACCACTGCTCTATAACCATAAGAAACAATAAACTCTTCCTTGTATAAGTTCCCTTGGTCTTGGTCCTCCATCAAAGTCAAAGAAAAGTAACTAAGACATACAGTGAGTACGTCGATACAACATCTGACTTTGTCTGTGAGTGGTGTACAGATACAGGTCACCATGACTCTGTCATAGTCAACTAATCTGTTGATTAAGTCATGGTACCGGCACATTTGATAAATACTGAAAAGTAGGAAGTGTATCTAATTCGAGGAAGTTGAACATGAAGTGGCATATCTACAGAGGCTATATCTCATCACTTCCTGTATCTTGTTTTCCATTCTTCTTGCCCAAAAAGAAGTGAAGAAGAGCATCACCCAACCCTCATCTCACCATGATACTTTGTCCATAAACATGGGGCAAAGTGACCATGAACCAAACCTTCTACAACAGCAAGTGAAAACATATCTGTCCTCCCTTGAATTGTTTGGGATTTTGATCACAGTGATTGGAAAGTTACTAATACAGCATATGAAGGGCAGGAGACAGGACCACAGTGCATGAGCCCATAGGAAGTAAGGGAACCACTGTCTGGTTGAAATATAAAGTAATTTTTTGTGTTAAAGAGGGAAAAGGAGACTGAAAGACAAACTCCCGGGTAACCAAGGAATTCTGAGCTGTGACATAGGCACCTGCTTTCCCGTGGTGCATTGGGTGCACAGTACAGATGTGGTGCATTTCCTATTTGCATAATCTCTGTGATGGATAGTTTCTGTCAACTTGACACGAATCCTGAGAAGAAGGAATTTCAACTGAGGAACTGCCTTCCTCAGATTGGCCTGTAGGAATGAATTTTATGAGGCATTTTCTTCTTGGTTAACTGATGAAAGATGGCATAGACCACTGTGGACAGTGCTAGTCCTGGGCAGGTTGCCCTATGTTGTATAAGAAATGTAGCCAAGCAAGCCACAATGAAAAATTCATGGTCCTCTCTGCTTTGTTCTCTCCCTCCAGTTTCTGCCTTGGCTTCCCTCATGGTGGGATACAATTTGTAAGCTAGATAACCTCTTTCCTAACTGGGTTGGTTTTAGTCCATGATTTACCACAGCAAAAGAAAGCCAAATTAGACTAATAATAGAGATCTCATTATATGTTTAAATGCATCCTTCTACATTGTTTTCCCTTGAGGGACTAACTCTACAATGGTGCTGGAGTGGCTATCTTTGGCTTATTTTTTAAATACTTTTAAATACTTCTTCTTTAAATAAGAAACAAAGGAGTCTTAATAAGTATATTCAAACTCTGGAGTCAGTCAGAGTATTCTTTGCTATTAGACAACTCCATTCCCTGCAAAGGGAAATAAAGATTGTTCATTTGTCTTAGGTGCCTACTAAACCCAGTGTCACATTCAAAACCCATCGTAAAAGAGTGTTCTGTGGCCCTGTGCCTGATCAGAAAACAGCAAGAAGCACTAGTCCACCTGCTGGATCTGGTGCTGGCAGTAAGGTCTGACTTCTGTTTCCCGAACACAAGAAGCTGTTTGAGGACAAGTTGCTTGATGGGGAGATCGTTGTTTCATATTCATATCTGTGTGGACACAGGAAACATTCACCGTGAGGACCTGAATGCAATGAGAGCGTCTGCAGATCATTGACTCCTGCTTCCCTGAAAACACAGCATCCAGAGCCCATCTATGTCTCCACAGCAGTCATTCTAACCTGGGTGTGACGACACATGAATGTCACTCCAGCACTTAAGAAGTGGAGATGTGAGAATGAGAAGCTCAAGACCACTCTCAGCTCTGCAGCAAGTCTGAGGACACTGTGTTTCACAAAAGACTATCTCAAAAAAAAAAAAAAAGAAACAGAAAGAGATTTAAAAAAAACTGAATGCATAAAAGCAAGCTACCAATATCAAGCAAGTTATTAATAATCATCAAAAATGTGCCCCTTCTTTAGAGTTAGTTCTCAAGTCTCTATGCGTGGGTGACATAACTTTCAGATTCTCTAATGTCAACTCTCTGGGATTTTTAAAGGACAGTTTCCTAGAAATAATTGGAGTGGTATAGAGAACAAAAGCAAGAAAAAGAAAGGGACTCACTAAAATAGAATTGAGAAGATAAAAGCTTTAGAGAGACACAAAACAAACAAATAAAGACAGTTTCTCTGTCTTCTCTGAGCTGTGGTTCCATGTTTCCTTTCTGAGAATTAAAACAATCATTCTCCTATGTGTTCATTAACTCCAACAGAAGGAAAAGTCATTATGTCATGTTGTGTGCTGATTTAAGCGTATCCTGACAAATAATGCTGGCTTAGAGTAAAAAGGTAGAACTAGTCACTAGTTAACCATAGAAGTCTGGAGGTCTGTACAAAGAGGAAACAGGAAGTGATAAGGTGAGGCGGGGACAGGATCTCGGCCTTTCTGGATCAGAGGGGCTGCAGAGGCGGGAAAGTCACTGGTGGCTATTCTGCTGGTTCTCTGACTATTTAGGTTTTTACCGCAATATCTGACTTCTGGTTGCCTTTAAGATTAATTCGATTTACACTTCACCTAGCACCCAAGGTGGGCTCAGAGTAACAGAAAAAAATAAAAAGCAAAACAAAAGAGTTAAATTCAAAGATCTCTTTCTAAAGAAAAATAGGGAGATAGGAAGTAGAAATGATAGGATGAAAGAATATGTTTTTGAATCTACTTTAATCCAGAAAACAGTTATTAATCTCAGACCACTTTACATTGGTTTGGATTTAAATTTATTGATACAAATTTAAAGTTATTTCTGTTTTATTATATGTATATTTCTACTCTTATTTAGGATATTGTGTTTATGCAGCTCATTTAAAAATGTAATATATAATTAAGAAATACAGAGTAATATTCATCTCTAATAGTCAAACTTACAGACATTTTAGGTATGTTTTAAAAGTCATACACAGGTATATTTAGATAGATGATCTTAAATCATTTCAAAGATCTATAGAATATGACATTTAATATTTTTTAATAAGCTGTGGCTTTTCATGACAATGAGACACATCTGCTCCTGGAAGCACTGATTTACTTCAGAGAAGATGATGGACATTGAAGAAATTCCAAATGGAGTTTGCTTTCTTTATAATACAAACAAGGCATGTGGGCAAAGAAACCGCCTTTGCCTCAATTGCTGAGAGCTACTGTCCAAACTGGATCAATAAGACACAGAAGAAAGTGTCTATCAGACTTTGTCAAGACAATATAGAACAGTCCTTCAAAATTTCCTGCTTCTAAGAAAAGTCTGGCAGACATAGTAGGCCTATGGGTCAAAGATGGATGCCACAATGTCGCAGAGCAGTCTGATGTCCTTGTCATTAGGTAACAATTCACTCTTCTGGGGTTTTGATGGAGTTGAAGACTAGATAGTTATAGTTAGAACTTTATTTATTTATGACAAAAGATAAATTAGGTGCAAAACTTTGGACTCACAAAGATAAGATATAAAATAGAGTATTTTCTCTAATTTTGTGAAATGCAAATACACTGGATATTATAACTGTAATTCTTACTTGATTGTTGCAACGAGGGGCTGCTTGTTCTTCCTGGCCACTCAGCTAGCTTAGACCCGAAATAATCACCCAGACGCTGTATTAATTAAATCACTGCTAGGTTCATTAGCTCTAGCTTCTTATTGGCTAACTCTTACATAATAATTTAACCCATCTCCATTAATCTGTGTATCTCCATGTGGCTGTGGCTTACCGGCTAAAGTTTTGGCATGGCTGAATCTGGCAGTTCCATGGCTTCTCTCTGACTCTGCCTTCTTCATCCTAGCATTCAGTCCAGTTTTCCCCACCTACCTAAGTTCTGCCTTATCAACAGGCCAAGGCAGTTTCTGTATTCATTAACCAATAAAAGCACTACATAGACAGAAGGACCTCCCAGACCATTTCCCCTTTCTGTTTAAACAAAAAGGAAGACTTTAACTTTAACATAGTGAAATTACATATAACAATTATCAAGCAAGAATTACAGATATAATATTTATATATACTTTATCTTTTATTATAACTAATGAAAACTATAACTATAAAATCTTCAACTCCAACAAAGACTCCAGAAAGATATAATATTACCTAAGTAAACAGAAAGAATGTTGAAAGCAACTTCCATAACTCTAGAAATGACAGAGACATCTTGCTACCTGAACAGTCACCCAAAGTTCTTCTGTACCATTAGGGCATCCTAATTTGTTGTACATAATCTTAAAGTTAAAGTTAACTTTAAACATAAAGTTAAGGGGCTGAAGAGATGACTCTGCAGTTAAGAGCATTGCCTGTTCTTCCAAAGGTCCTGAGTTCAATTCTCAACAACCACATGATGGCTCACAAACATCTGTTATGAGGTCTGGTGCCTTCTCCTGGCCTTCAGGCATACACACAGACAGACTATACATACATAATAAATAAATAAATATTTTTAAAAAACCATAAAGTTAAAACCTCCCTTTTTAATTAGGCAAAAAGGGAGATTTGCTATGGAAAAATATTCTTGAACACTGTAAAGATTTGTCACTCATATCGATTTTAAAAAACTGTAATGAGCCATTAGCAATGGAGGAAGCATAGGAGGACAACCAAACTCAGGATGATGGGAAGGAGAATGATGGAAAGAGGAGTCACCAGCCAGATGTAGAGGGAGCAGGAGATGAAAATGCCTTGGCAATAAAGGTACCACCATATGGCAGAGCATAGGTAAGGAATACGGGCTAACTAGCTAGCAACAATCCTGAGCTGTCAGTCAAGCATTTGCAATTAACATAAGCCTCTGAGGGATTATTTGGGATCAGGCAGTCAGGACAGGAAAATTCTGCTTACAATATCGTAACAGGAAGTGACAGAATCCATTACCTGACAATGACTCTTGGGATTAAAAGTGCTAACACCAAAAATATCAAAAGTGCCTACAGTTAGGAGGCTGAAGCAGGAGAATCACCAAAAGTTTGAGGCCAGCCTGAGCTATATAGTCCATCCCACGCCAGCTGGGGCTATATAGCAAGACTCTGTCTCAAAAAAAGAATAGGAAAGAGCAATGGGAGATATCAATCAGTAGTTAAGAGAATTTGTTGCATTGCTCTTGAGAATCTAGGTTCATTTTTTTCAGCACCTGCATGGTTGCTGACAACCATCTCTAACTCTATTTCTAGGGAATCAGACACATTTCTGATATCTGTGGGCACAAGATGCACACATGGTGCATATGTATACATGTGAGTAAAACACTGACATACATAAAATTAATGAAAGATCTTAAAAACAAAAGAAATAATGAAAAAGAATAGGGAGAGACAGGAGGAAGAGGAAGATGGGGAAAGGAAGTCAAACAAATGCTTAAGGAAAAGAATGATAGAGAATTACAGGGAAATAGCACTGGGATGGTCCAGAAGTTTACATTCAGAGGCAGGTGGAGACACAACAGCAGACAACAGCAAAAGGCATGCCTGGGACAAAAGTGAAGTTCTGACCCATGTTGAGGGCTGTTCACTTTGCCAACCAGTGAGGGCCTTGTGAGATAATGAGAGACTCAGATGAAGTCTATCAAATGTTGCAAAATGAGCTAAGTTTTGAACCTGGAAACTGAGTTCTATAACAAAGAATAGTATGATTCTATGGGAGAAAACATTATTTTGTATATTAAGGTACTAAAAAGTAATAAGACAGAGACAAACAGAAGAAAGAAGTAAAAACTTTCCTCCAGAAAGCAGGAAAGGGAAGAAGGGTTAATTACATAATTCATGCTAACACTCTTCTATGTTATGATACAATAGTAAACATGAAAATGAAAATAAGTCTTGAATACAAGGCTATCCCTTGCTGACCCATGAATATGTCAAACTGTAGACCTCTTGTAACTAGAATGTGTAAAAATCAGCCCAAGCTTTGGCAGATTCAGAGAATCCATTCAAGTGTACCAACTTCATGAAAGTGGTTTCTCAAAGTGCACTTAACCAATGGATTAGATGAGACCTGAAATGAACCCAACAGGATTCACAAATCATCCAGCCATGTGGAGACCATATCTTCTAATTTCCATATAAGCATTCTGTACTTAGGGGGATACTCCTTCCAGAGAGAAAATTCTGAACCTCATTTCCTGTATGTGAAAGTTCAACCTAAAACATAATCAAAAACTGGGATACTCACCGGCCTATCAGGAAATGAGGTAGTGATATTATGAAACACCCTAGGCCCATAACCGCACATCCAACACCAATCATGATAGGCCTGTGCAGTTTTGTTCCGAAATAACTCACGAATATAATCAACAAAAGGTTTCCTAGGAGAAGGGAAAGAGAATGTTATTTCAGAAAAGTATTAGCAGATCCTAGTCCATAGCCTCTCAAACATTTGTACTTTAGGGTTCATTGTTTAACAACCTACTTAAGAATACAGGGATGGGTTGTCTACGAGGTTTGTGTGTGGGATCTCCTTCCGCCCCTTCAGCCAATAGCCTTTAAGAAACCAGCCCACTTGGGCGTGTTCTCTTTGGCTTCAAAAAGCAGCCATAGCCTTGTGCTCCCTCTCTTGCTTCGGACTCCACTTCTAGCTACCAGACTCTTTTCCTGGTTGTGCAGAGGGCTGTTGTCTAGGATGGTAATCTGTAAGTTTTCCCCTTTAAATAAATAATCTTCTTATTAATCACAATTCCAAACTGGTGTGGGATTGTTTTGTGACTTACTCCTTTAAATAAATTATATAGATATAGATATAGATATAGATATAGATATAGATATAGATATAGATATAGATCAATTGTGACCCTGTAAGATTCTCCTCCATTCTGGTTAATATTAAGTCCTCTATTAGGAATCATTCAGCCCTTGATAATGGATACAGAAGGAGGTGTCAGCCTGCAAGTCATCCCTGACCTCTCCTTTTATGACTGTTTTATTCAGAGTCAAATGGAACTATTTTGACTATTTAAAACCCTCTTTATGACTCAACATGGCCATGATGAACATCTGCTTCTGTTGCTACATATTCCCTCAGACCAAATACTGTTAGCACAGGGAAAGTCAGAGTGTTAACCCTCCAACTGGGTCTTAGGATGAGATTACCAGAATCAAAAAATCAGCACAAAAACTCATCTCTGTGGTTTAGGAGAAAGCTTTGATTTAAAGAACCTCAGAGGGAAGCCCCATTCTGACAGAGAGGCCTTTGATAAACATGCTTAAGAAAAGAACGTACAAGTGTGTCTTGGTGGCATAGACCTGCCATCCCCAGTCACAGTGTGGCTAAGACAAGAAGACTGCAAGATCAAGGTTGGCCTGTGCTACAGAGTGAGTTCAAGATTAGCCTGGTCACCTTACTAAGAACGTCTTCAAAATAAAAAATAAATAAAGGGTCTGGGAATAGGGTGGTAGAGTGCTAGTCTAATGTGTAGGAGGCTCAAGGCTCAATCATAAGTATTATTCTATTCACAAAAAAAGAAGCAACATAAGTAAGCTTTCCTCAAACCAGTTTTAGTTTGATGTAGACTATTTACCCTGCTCATATAATACATAAAGAAAAAATTCAGAAAGCTAAAACACCCTTCTTTGATGACTTTGTAAATTTCTAAGTGATTTCAAATACTTAGAAGATATATGAAGACTTTGTTTTCTTCCAATTCTATTTCTCTCTATTCTGCTAGGTAGAAGAGGTGATGCATTATTTTGAATGGTTTGCACCCCACTTCCACATCCTTATTGTCCTTTCTTTGCCCAAAGTCCCTGTCATTGAGGTCATCATTCAAAAGATAATGTCCCAGGACAGCCAGTGATTGAGCTCTCTGGGCTTCTTTCTAGTCTGTGACTGTACCACTACGCACACACTGGATCTTATCTGAAATCTCTATTGTTTGAAATGAAAAGCATTTCCTACTCACACTCGGTTTAGATTGCATTTTATGTTGCCTTGGTGGCCCTCAATTAATTGGAGGGAAGGTGTGGGGAAATGTAAGGTGTCGTCCAGGCTAGGGGAAGGTTGCTTGTAAAATTACCTGGGGAAATGCCCACCAAATACTGCATTCATTGGCCAATGTGAATTCCTTCCTCTCACAACTGTTTCTACTTAAGACTTCCCCCAAGTCATCTACCACATCCATTGCTGGTGGAGGAGTTAATATTTTCTAGTTTAAAAAAAAAACTTTTTAACTTTTAGTCTAAAAACCACAGAGTTCACAGAAATTAGTTTTCCAGAAAATCAAGTTTTCTGTGAATTGGTAGAAAAAATTGTTTTCAATAATCATTAACTGGCATTAACATTCCTGTTCATTGCTTTCGTGTAACAACTGGCTTCCTCTTTACCTATATAATTCATTTTGTGCAATTAAAATATTCTAAAACAGTGGTATTGGGTTTTCAATAGTTGTCCTTAACATAGAAAAATCATGACCCTCTTCCAACCCCATACTGGCTTTCTGCCACATAAGGGATAGAAGACATACTCCAGAGCAAGCCACAGTCTCTACCCATTTTTCATCCCTGCATACTTTTCCAGGTTCATGTTTTAACAACTTCCACCTTCCCATAACACAGGGCTGACTTGATCCCCACACAAACTATTTGATGATTCACCCCTGTACACATCTCCCCTTCACATTTACCTGTCCATTTCTCCTCCAGGATCACCTTTACCCCTTTAAAAGACTGTCTTCCCTAGCATAATGTGGTCCATAGGACCTTGGAACAACAACAAACTGCCCTTGTTGCATCTAACACACTAGAGCATGACTGAATCTGTGAAATGCTTACGTAAGGCATTCATCCTGACTACTGGGAAGGCCAAGAACACAGGTGGAAAAGTTTAAGAAGCTTGATCGTGGTAGTCAAGATGAAGCATCCTCCATATGTGTTAGCCTCTTCACAGCTCCTGCTTTCTTTGATGTTTTGATTTAAAACATTAAAAATAATTTCACCTTAAAGGAAGTAAAAACTAAGAACAAAAAACTTCCAGGTCACTTTGTTTATAGAGAGCATCTTTCCCTCCTTCACCTTTTGCATTCTCATATCCAAGTTCATCACCCAAAAGAGGGTCTAAAGTTAATCCATGCTTCTAAGGAAGTGTGACTGACAAAACTCAAATGCAGGAAAGCATCCTAATCTTCCTCGATGTCTAGGAGTGGAAAGCTGGCAACCTCAGAGACACAGCGGGGTAGAAGAAGGATTTGCTCTCTCCTTCAGAACACAAGTTCCTCCAGGCTCCCACAGCAACCTCTAAAATGCCGAAGAAAAGCCCTTAGCTTTTCTTTGAATGATGCAGTGGTAGAATTAGATATTAATACTCTAAATTTTCTGCTACTTGTCAGAAAAGAGGGACCATGTCAGGTTATGTGGCAATAATGAAATGTCAGCATAAGGATATTTAAATACATGGTTCCTTCACACCCAAACCAGGTTATTTAATCACAGCAGGAAACATATAATTTAGTCAGATGAAATAGCTAATGCAGGAAATAAGAAGAGAATATCAATATATAATAATAAGTAAGTGTAAAAATGACTCACCAATCTCAAAGCTCCCATTGATCAGTCCAACTATAGCTGTGGGAATATCAAATTGTCTTTCTATTTGTGTGAGCATGGAATTCATATAAACTCCTGATAGTGCTTTGGATAAATATGCACATGTTGTTGCCAACAGAAACATCTATGAAGAAAAACATTTAAGAAAAGTCAGAAACCCTGTCTCAAAAATGAAAAAAAAAGAAAAAAAAAGAAAAAGAAAAGTCAGAACCTAGTATTCTGATTCTATGTCTGCCATCTACTGGCAAACAGCATCTACCATGAGGTGGGGGATTTTATCAACATTAACAAACTTTGAAAATGGAAAAAACTACAAAGTGTAATCTTTATTCTGTCTTGCTGTCCTAACTCTGGAAATGCGGGCGGGGTTTGAAGAGTTGGTTAGTAGTGGTGAGTCCTGTAGAAGGGATATGGCCTTGCCCTTGTATCAGTGTATCTTATTGATACAGAAAGACATTGAGTTATGCTGTGTAAGACATGATGGCTATTGATGGGTCTCCAGCATTATACTCTTATCTACAGAACAAGTGTCCTGAAGGAATAGAACACAGAACTGCACCACAGCATTGCTCCTGAAGCAAGCCTCTTATGTTCTCTCCAAAGGGATGACAGGTCTCTGGGTATCTTTGACCAGTTCAAGCCTTTGTCCACTTTGTCTACATTCCTGAGAAAAAATAAACTACGTTCTCACTACTGGGATCAATAGTTACAGTAAAGTGACTTGTCTTGTTTTTCTTTCTGAGTCCACAGGTCCTATAACCCTTTACCTCGGTAGTCCAAGTGGTGTTTGTGGCATGTAAACACAGGACAGAACATTTTGGGGTCCCTCCTGTGCAGGATAAAATGTGGCTATATACCAATAAGACTCCTCATCACCAGCCTGTGACTAATATCCTTAAATTGAATGATGTAGTGAATGAGATTACTGTTTCCCTTAACTTATCTTCCTGCAGTAGGTTGATGACAAATGTCATCATCCCAGCTTCTGAAACTTCTGTACAATCACATCTAAACTAATAGGCAGATCATCCTGTGTTAGGTTAGGATATACTGTTTATAAAATAATTGTCACTACTACCAATTAATTTGGATAAACTGAAGCAAAAAAATATGCAAAATGAAGAACTAGGAAATATGAACACCAACTTCAGTATAGCTCAAAAGTACTCTATGACTTTAAGATAATGCAATTTCAGCTTGAGAAGCTTGTCTTCTAACTCTAAATGACATTGGCAGAGATGTTTCCCCTTCCCACTGCAAATCTTTGAGAGGATGTGATTGATACGTGATTATTTTCTCGTGGGTTTCATAATTCAGGTCCTATATTTTAAAGCAAGGTCTACAAAATTAAAAAGAAAATAATCAGGTTTGGGGGATCATTTATTTGATTTAAGTTTTAAAGAAGAAAACTAAGCAGTAATGAACAAATTTCTCTTTCTCTAAAGTACTCGATTGTGGACAGAAAGTAAAAGAAATCAGTGTCCACGTGGCTCTAGTCTACTGCTACATAATGTCTGCATTTAAAAAGCCAACCCTGCTGACTGTTCACCTCGGCGCGCTAGAGTCTGAAGCAAACGCTCCTAGAGCAGTCCTTTCCTTCCTCCGAAGGGAGATCTATTTTGTATTTTCTTTCATTTCTTTGTGTAAGTGTGTGTATGCTTGTGAGGGATGAGTTTCTGTATGTATATGCACATGAGGAGACAGAAGACAAGTGTAGGTGCAATTCCTCAATCTTTGTAAATACTTTTAGTAACAGGGACTCTCACCTGCCTAGAATTCAGCCAGGTGGCAAGGCTGGGTATCAGGGACCACCAAGTATCTGCTGAGTCCATCTCCCCCACACTGGAATTGCAGTTAGTGTCACCGTGCCTAGTTTATATGTCGGCTTGGGGAATGAACTCAGGTCCTCCTGCTTCTTAGGCAAGCACTTTACTGATTGAGATATCTCCCCACCCCCTTGAGAAATTTTCCTTTGTTTTCATTAATAAATTTTATTGACTAAGTCACTGCTTGGTGATTTTCTATATACATGGTCCATTTTGATGATTACTTTCCTACTTTGTTCGCCCTCTCCACCAACACCTTCATTATTTGTAGGATAATAATCCTTAGAAAAAAGGATTTCTAAGGTTCATGAGTTTTGGGTTGGGTTTTTTTTTTGTTCCAAATACATTAACTAAGGTCCTCTGTGGAGCCACTGGGTTAGAACTAACCACTGGAATCTAATGAGGTCGCCAGTGTGTGCATGATCAAAGTCCATGAAGGCCATGGTTTACCCTGGCTAGGAACACCTTTGCTAATGATTATATTTCTAACTTTAGGAAGCAGAGCTTCCAATTTGGCAGTATAGAATATTTGGCTACCCTAGCACTTAAGACAGCTCTAAATACAGATAAAACTATTTTTAAACAATTACCTCTAAATTTTGTGCTGTAAAGTCATGATTTTAAATTTTTTTCATAACCTTCACACCAGTACCTACTATAGTTAATCTCCAAAGTAACAGTGATAGTTTTTTTTTAAATAGGAATAACCTCCTGGCCTCCAGGGAGTGGCATTATCAAGAGGTTTAGCATTGTTGGAGAAAGGGTCAGTGGGCATGGGATTTGAGGTTTCAGACAATCAAGCCGGGTCTAGTATCACTTATTTCCTGCAAAGTACTTATAAGGATGTAGAATCTCGGCTCCTTCTCCAGAGCTATATCTGCCTACAGGCTGCCTTGCCTCCTGCCATGACAATAATGGATTAAACCTCTGACCCTGTAAGCCAGCTCCAATTAAATGGTTTCCTTTATAAAACTTGTAGTGGTCATGGTATGTCTTCAAAGCAATAGAAACCCTAAGAGAGTAACCAAAGATGAACTTTGAAAACTAGTATTTATAATGATAAGTGGTGACTTTTCTCTATAAATACTATTAATTCTAGCAATTAATAATCATAATGTTCATCATTAGCCTTAGCTTTGAAGTTGCAATTGGCGCTGAGCAATTAAGATCACTCTCTACTCTTGCTGAGGACCTGGATTCAATTCCTATCACCCACACAGTGGTTCAAAACTATCTGTAACTCCAGTTCCAGGGGATCCAGCACTTTTTTCTAGCCTCCAATGACAGCAGACACACAGAAAAGTAAAACACCAATTTAAAGAAATTAATACGTCTTAAAGTAGAAAAAGAAGGACAGATCAGGGATAGAGGAATTGCCTGGTGAATATGAGCATCTGGGTCTAATCCCTCAGACCAGTTATATAGGATAGCACTGAATGGTGG